TTAGTGCATACACTCGGATGTGAGTTTTATGTTCAATTAAAATCCTGCTTTTTATAGACTTAATTGATTAATATATATTATGCATTGAACTAATTTTTATGTACGTTTGCCACGTCTCAGCGACGACGAACAAAGGTAACCATAGGCACCTTGAACTTTCTTCGGGTTGTTTGGAGCATTTGGTGGTCGAAACTATTTCTTGGACTGCAAAGAACAACAACAGAGAGTTGGAAGGTCTTAGGTAACGAAAGAAAAATTTATTCCTTTATAATAAGTTTGGAAAATTAATGATTCAGTCTTGCCCGCCAGGTCTATTAAATATACTGGAGGCAAAATGCAAACCTCAATGGCAAAAACTTGCCTTAAACCTTGCTGAACTCTTGGAGACTTACGAATGAGCCTTCCATCTCTCTCCTGCGAAGAAAAGAGTAAGAAATAAAAGGTACCGAATAATTATTCATTTTTTTAAAAATTCAATCATATCAATATCAAATAAAAAATAATTCTTTATTATTGAATTATCTAGGTTATCGATAATCTAATAAAAGAATGCAACAAAATTAATTATAGCGATAGATATAAAAACATTTGAATGAGACTCCTTTGAAAAATTTGCCAACGTTGAATATTTGCAAAAGGAAGTTTTGCGTCAATTTATAAAGCAACCCGGTTGAATGGACCATTGCATTATGATAAATACTTTTCCATGTAGGATCATGAATAAATTTAAACGAAGAGGAGAAAGAAAAGTTGTTGAAATCATTACACAATTCAAAACGAGTTACTCCAGAGTTTAGACGCGAGGTAAAAAAGTGAATTTACTTTTTGTTGCTAATACGATCAGATTTTTCAAAAATAGATTCAGACTTTTCTTCAATTTAGCTATGGAATAACTTGGAATTCAACTACGAATGAATACTTGATTGTGATGGAATCGTATGATTTAGCAAATGTTCCGGTTGTCAAAGAGCGGTGAATGTTTCAAATATCACAAACGAATTTATAACGATGAATTGTCTAGGGAGATAAAGAATGCTAATAATTAATAAAAAAGATGCTGATGATAATGATAAATATGAAATATTCGAATGGCTTCCTTTTGAAAGGTTTATCAAAGTTGAATATCTTGCGAAAGGAGGTTTTGGATTTATTTATAAAGCAACTTGGGATCATGAAGAAATAATTCAAACGAAGAGGAGAAAGAAAAGTTAGGTTAAAATCATTACACAATTTCAAAACGAATTACGCCAGAGTTTATACGTGAGGTAAAAAATGCACATTTACTAAAATGAAAGCGAACTTTTTTTAATGCAATCAAATTTTTTGAAAAATAGATTCAGGTTGCTCTAAAGTTCAGTCTCGTTTTGATTAAATATTATGGAATAACCAAAAACTCGATTACAAGTGAATATTCAATAGTGATGGAACACTCGGTTACTTTATTACTCGGCCGCGCGTTTAAATTGTTGGATGTAGCGTTGAATGACTATAATGAAAGCAAAATTCAGGACACATAATATGAGAGTCGATGCCGCATTATCATTTTCAGAACTTTTATGCACTTTCCGCGCTGGTGCAGATGTATCATCATCCGCTAATTTAACGTCCTTCTTCATGGAGATTCGGAAATTGCGGCTGTAACGATTTATGTAACGTTCACCGATTCTGTGACCTTTTCAGTTCGCGATCGGCCTCTATTGGACCAGTTCTCAGCTTGTTAATATT